GGAAAAGACTTGGAAACTTAAATCATAGGGCTATGCAAGCAGGGAGAGTATGGACAGAGCATTGCGCCCTTCACCCGAAACCCTCAAAGCAACCCATGGCTGAAGGGGCCCAGCCTCCCAAAGGCCTTCTTGAAGGCCTCCACCGTCGCCAACGGGTTTTTCCGGTGGAAAGAGCTTTGAAAGTCAAACATCACCTTAGCCAACCCAGCATCCCTGTTCGGGCCCCTCCCCAGATGCCATTCTCTGCCTGGCCTTCCGGAGCCCTGACTACACCTCGAGCCTCATGAAATCAAAAAAACAACGTCTTCGAGTTGTCGAGGCTGCGGCACCAGGAACACCAGTGCGCCGGTCGGAAAATCGAAGCGGGGTCTCGTTGCAAGGTAGTCTTCCTTAGCTCATGAACTGAGGTGCTTTCCCTAAAGTAGGCGTTAGTGCTTGGGGCATCTTGGGGCCAAAGAGGGTCTGACTTTTACGGCTTGAGGCTGAAAACTCTCCACGGCCAGAACTCTTCCTAACGAGGAATAAGAATCTGAGTCAACCTCACAGCCAGTGTTCATCGTCACGACCTTTGTCTTTTGCGAAAAATTGCCGTACAGTGGAGACGAGGTGATTGATGTCGTCACGAACTCAGACGGGGTCCAAACCTGGCGACTGGACGGGAAGGCCCTCTAGAATCGGACACGCCTCAGCACGACAACAGATCAGCTTTGAGAAGAAGTCGCCTCGTTGAAGACACGCAGGTGGACCATCCATTCGCTGGGGAACTTCTCCAATTCCCACGCCCAGTATCCAATATTGTAATAGATGCTCCGCTGTGAGTGCGGGAACAACTCCAGTATTATGGGAGTGCTGTCAGCGTTTGCCACAAACAAGTTGATTCGGTGCTGTGCGGCGCGGGAAGTCTTCAGGTCGATCATCCGGTGATGCTCAGAATCGGCAGGAAGGGCGATGGCTGTGGTGTCAGCCTCGCGCGGTGCTTCAAGTCGGTGCTTCACTCGAAACCTGACTGTAGAATCAGTTTCAGTTTCAGTAAACTCCCCTTGCCTGGACGGCGTTCAGTGCCTTCAACAGAAGGCGGCTGGACTGGGCGACCCCAAAGATGCCATGGAACCAGCCATAGACGTTAACGCCACCTTGCAGAGGCTCCGAGGCTTTGTGCGCTCCTTGTCGTACCCGGCGCTTCAAGCCCTGGATGGAGAATTCCTGCACTCCAGACTGAAGGAACCAAGAGGCAAGTTGCTCGCCGTGTTCTCCAAAAGGATTCGGAAACTGGGCTCGTACATCCTGGGCTGAAAGCCGTGACACGGCACGTCAGACCCTAAACCCCTTGACCAGACCACTCTTAACGGCATTATCATTATGGGCTTTTGACACAGGTCAACTTCCCATTCGAGCACCCAAGCATCAGGGCGTGCTAGATAAATCTGCCAAGCAAGCTCAGAAACCTGCAGCGCCATCAGAACCCGGTGTAACCGTGTAAAGTCTGGACTTGTCGGGGGTTCCGACGTCTTGGGCTGAAACCCTCATTTCTTAAAGCCTCCACCCTAAGGCTTGAATAGGCTTGAATAGGACACGGGGGTTGGGGGTTTCTGAGTGAACAGCTAGGCTTTAGTCTTTAGGCTTTCGCTTTTAGCGCGTAGGCTTTAGACTTTAGGCTTCCGGCTACGTACTGTCCGCTCATGCGCCTTGTGCGGGCCCCGCTGCTCGACGATCAAGTGGTGGGCATCTTGCAACATCCAGTCCAGCAATGTCAGCTTGCCATCCTGACGCGGCTGCGTTCCGAAAGGGTCGTCGTAGGCGACGAGATCCTTGAACAAGTGCACATCGTTACGATAGCTTTCTCCAGGATCCAGAACATGGGAGAAGTAGTTGCGGATGACGTCTGGTATAAGAGTCCCATCGTCAAAGCGAGAAAATCCATAGGGCAACTTGCGCCAGAATGTTGCATTTTCCTTGTTCAACAACGTCAGATATTTGTCACAAATCTCACCCAGGATTGCAAAGGTGCTCCTCTTGATACGATTTTGCTGAGGAGAGAGGCAACCATTCCGCTTGTCATCTGGAAGGTGGGACATACCGGAGAAGTGCATGAATACAACGGGCTGCAGATCATACCAAACAGTGCCGTTCTCCATGCGAAGATGAGCCCCTCTGTAATGCAGGTTCCAATCTGCAATGTTGTAGCGAGGATCTCTTAGCACAAGATACTCCTCCTGCTGTAAGTACGACAAAAAGTAGTGACCCCAAGCCTGATCGAAGTACTCTCCTTTCTGTACCTCAGCATGGCCGTAGTGGCGCAAACGGTCAAGCCACCAGCCGAGAATGTCATCAGTTGGCCCACCCTTCGACGCTGCAAGGATGCCGAAGTTGAATTGCCCTTTCAGCAGGAGGTCGCGTTCGTCTTGCCTGAGTCCATCTACGGGCACCGGCTGCGTTATGTACGGAGTGACGACAAATCGGTACCGGTCCAGTGCCTCAACGACCGCTGTAAGCGGCTGCATGAGCCAAATATCGTTGTCCAGGTAGAGCACTTTTCGACACCTCTGCACATGAAATAGATGCTTGAAGGCAGCAGGCTTTATAGCAGTGTTGAAGCATTGCATCGGGTAGCGAAA